TTGTTTCCACTCTGGTGGGAGGACTGGTGACCGTTCTTAGTCGATGTGAGAAAAACTGGTCAAGTGCTACCCTTTCGCAGACTTTCGAAGCGACGAGGAGGAACAAAAGTGGTCAGTTGTTAGAAGCCAGTTCATGATTGCCCTCATGCATCAAGAAATGTAGAAGTGGTGACGGAGCAGTTTATAATGTATGTGCGTGACCCTAGGATGACCGGGAAGACAATCGTTGATGAAACGCATGCTTATCTTTCCGGGCCCTGGAGACTTCTTCAAGGGCATAGACAAGATAATGCCCTGAACTTAATTTCAAAACAGGAGAGCTGTGAGCTGCTCACAAATCAAGGTATGACGTCAGGTCTATATGGGCCTGCTTCAGTCTCGAAAGACTGGTATGCAAAAAGGCATACAAAAAGTATCATGGGCATGGGGTAGAAGAAGCCTTTGCTTTAGCCTACTACGGGAAGTTAGACGTCCCCGCCCTCCAGAGTCTGGGGTATCACCTCTCTGAAGTACCAGTAACCCCACAGACAACAGGTCTAACATGGTAAATCCTGACTGAAGATGTTTGAGTTTACAAAGCCAAAACTGCGAGTAGAGAAAAATATGTCTGAACAGGATATGTATGCAAAGAAGCCACTGTTTGCCGCGGCTTATAAGATCTCTATAGACAAAGAAGGACCAGATGGATGAAGGGTCCTGGAACACAACAACAGACTAAACAAAAAGACTAAATAGACTAAGCAAAGAAAACCAAGAGATCGAGGACCTTTAACACAATATAAACTATCATTCAAAGATTTCTGTGAGATGGGAAGGTTGATTGCACAGAACTGTCCTCCATGTCAAAATAAGGCTTTTAAACTGGCATGTACTAAAACCTAAAAGACCAGAATACCCCAGAGCACTAGTAAAATAGCTAACTATAACCCTAATTATATCCACTAACCTTAACCAGTAACCATAACCAGCTAGCCTTATTTTTTTTTGTTCTGTGTTCTATACAGTTCAAGCTGTTTCTGGTTTAGCAGGATATGTAAGGAGAAGGCTTCCATCTAGGCTCGATCTCTGCGGCTCAGGATCGTGGGCTCATTTTTGCGACTACATTACACCGTTTGCAGTCTTACATTATTTTTCTTGTACTGTACGTGAACATTATCCAATCATTATTTTTCAACTTTTTTCTGGAGGTGAAATGTCATTGGATTACTGGTCAGTTTTTCATAAGTTGAAACTTGTGTTTCTGATAGTCAGGTTTGTTGTTGTGATGAAACAGTGAGCATTCTGAAACCCAGCTTTGATTCTTTGAGCAGGCTTTGTTGCGACCGTCGAGAAGTGCAGAGTTAGTACTTATCAATACTTTTTAAATCTGCATCAATATGAAATGCAACCAGCTTCAATACATGAAGGATGAGAGGTTGGAAAATTTATACTAAACGTCTAGGTACTATGCATTTCAAATTTTAAATAGTATACTTTTAAATTCCAATTGATAACATATATTTTTTCCATTTAATACCTGTATTACTTAGCTCAAAGTGTGAAGCAAAATTATCCACATCAGTAAAAAGCGCCATAGTTAACACACAAATTCTCCTTACCGGTGTCGATACATTTTTATAGTATTAGTTGGGAGAATTATTTTGTTTAAAATTTAAAGCAATTTTCTTTAATGATCACTCTCAATTCTCACAACCTTTTTTCGTGACTTTGCATTGTTACCGTGAGGAGAAAGTTTCTTGTCATCACTCTTGGGGCTTAAAGGGTTAACATAAGGACTGATGCATAACAAGCCGCATTTCAGTCCCCTTTGGGAATATATCTAATCATGTCCCACTGTCAATTCACTTGGGCTTGTACAATTATGGCATTACAATCCCCGATGTTGTCTAGTTCTGACTGTAGTCTTAATTCAACCACTCCTTTAGCACATAATATTTTATGAAATTATCGGCCTGTATACATTTCCTATAGTTCTACATGTCGTTGGGAGAATTTTAAAAAAATTCAAGGCCATTTCTCTTTACTGATCACTACCTTGATTCTCACAACCAGCATTTCAGTGGAATGGTGTTTCTTGTTTCCATTCTGGTGGGAGGACTGGTGACCGTTCTTAATTGATGTGAGAAAAACTGGTCAAGTGCTACCCTTTCGCAAACTTTCGAAGCGACGAGGAGGAACAAAAGTGGTCGGCTGTTAGAAGCCAGTTTATGATTGCCCTCATGCATCTAGAAATGTAGAAGTGGTGACAGAGCAGTTTATAATGTATGTGAGTGACCCTAGGATGACCGGGAAGACAATCGTTGATGAAACGCATGCTTATCTTTCCGGGCCCTGGGGACTTCTTCAAGGGCATAGACAAGATAATGACCTGAACTTAATTTCAAAACAGGAGAGCTGTGAGCTGCCCACAAATCAAGGTATGACGTCAAATCTATATGGGCCTGCTTCAGTCTCGAACGACTGGTATGCAAAAAGGCATACAAAAAGTATCATGGGCATGGGGTAGGAGAAGCCTTTGCTTTAGCCTACTACGGTTAGACGCCCCCGCCCTCCAGAGTCTGGGGTATCACCTCTCTGAAGAACCAGTAACCCCACAGACAACAGGTCTAACATGGTAAATCCTGACTGAAGATGTTTGCGTTTACAAAGCCAAAACTGCGAGTAGAGAAAAATATGTCTGAACAGGATATGTATGCAAAGAAGCCAGTGTTTGCCGCGGCTTATAAGATCTCTATAGATAAAGAAGGACCAGATGGATGAAGGGTCCTGGAACACAACAACAGACTAAACAAAAAGACTAAATAGACTAAGCAAAGAAAACCAAGAGATCGAGGAGCTTTAACACAATATAAACTATCCTTCAAAGTTTTCTGTGAGATGGGAAGGTTGATTGCACAGAACTGTCCTCCATGTCAAAATAGGATTTTAAACTGGCATGTACTAAACCTAAAAGACCAGAACACCCCAGAGCACTAGTAAAATAGCTAACTATAACCCTAATTGAATCCACTAACCTTAACCAGTAACCATAACCAGCTAGCCTTATTTTTGTTGTTCTGTGTTCTATACAGTTCAAGCTGTTTCTGGTTTAGCAGGACATGTAAGGAGAAGGCTTCCATCTAGGCTCGATCTCTGCGGCTCAGGATCGTGGGCTCATTTTTGCGACTACATTACACCGTTTGCAGTCTTACATTATTTTTCTTGTACTGTACGTGAACATTATCCAATCATTATTTTTCAACTTTTTTCTGGTGGTGAAATGTCATTGGATTACTGGTAAGTTTTTCATAAGTTGAAACTTGTGTTTCTGATAGTCAGGTTTGTTGTTGAGATGAAACAGTGAGCATTCTGAAAACCAGCTTTGATTCTTTGAGCAGGGTTTGTTGCGACCGTCGAGAAGTGCAGAGTTAGTACTTAGCAATACTTTTTAAATCTGCATAAATATGAAATGCAACCAGCTTCAATACATGAAGGATGAGAGGTTGGAAAATTTATACTAAACGTCTAGGTACTATGCATTTAAAATTTTAAATAGTATACTTTTAAATTCCAATTTATAACATATATTTTTTCCATTTAATACCTGTATTACTTAGCCCAAAGTGTGAAGCAAAATTATCCACATCAATAAAAAGCCCCATAATTAGCACACAAATTCTCCTTACCGGTGTCGATACATTTTTTATAGTATTAGTTGGGAGAATTGTTTTGTTTGAAATTTAAAGCAATTTCTCTTTACTGATCACTTTCTCAATTCTCACAACCTTTTCTCATGACTTTGCATTGTTACTGTAAGGAGAACGTTTCTTGCGATCACTCTTGGGGCTTAAAGGGTTAACATAAGGACTGATGCATAACAAGCCGCATTTCAGTCCCGTTTGGGAATATATCTAATCATGTCCCACTGTCAATTCACTTGGGCTTGTACAATCATGGCATTACAATCGCCGATGTTGTCTAGTTCTGACTGTATTCTTAATTCCACCACTCCTTTTGCACATAATGTTTTATGAAATTATCGGCCTGTATACATTTCCTATAGTTCTACATGTCGTTGGGAGAATTTTTAAAAAATTCAAGGCCATTTCTCTTTACTGATCACTACCTTGATTCTCACAACCAGCATTTCAGTGGAATGGTGTTTAGTAGTATAGAAGGTTCCAAATTAGCCCCGTTTTAATTTATTCCTCAAAGATGGCGGACAAATTGAGGTATATCATTAAAGATGGCGGACAATTGAGGTATACCATTTAAGATGGCGGACAAATTGAGGTATATCATTAAAGATGGCGGACAAATTGAGGTATATCATTAAAGATGGCGGACAAATTGAGGTATATAATTAAAGATGGCGGACAATTGAGGTATATCATTAAAAATGGCGGCGAGCATGCGCAGTAGGTTCGGGTTTGGGGTTAGCCTCGCTTTGCGGGTAGGGTTAAATTAAACATGGCGGACCTGAACCCGCGGTACCCTTTCCCACCTCTAAACCCTAACTGGTCAGCGGTAGTTCACCTTAAAACTTGAGCCCGCGATACCATGACGTTATTGGGTCAGCGGTTTCCTCCCACGTGCCCTCCAATGGATACTTCGTGTAATCGTCACAAAGTGTCCCCTGAGCCCGCGGTACCCCTTCCCACCTCTAAACCCTGACTGATCAGCGGTAGTTCACCTAAAACTGTCACAAAGTGTCCCCCTGAGCCCGCGGTATCCCTTCCCACCTCTAAACCCTAACTGGTCAGCGGTCATCCACCAAAAAATGCGGGAATCGGGAGAGGGGTGGGTGGGGAGTCGATTGCGCTGGGGGAGGAGTCGGTGGGGCAAATCGCGGATTTTTCGATCGAGGAGTACGGCTTTTTTTTTTTTCCTTGAGTTTCTGGATTTTTTTCGTTTCGTCGGATTCGTCGGGTACTGGGGAACGTTTTGGCTTGGTTGGTTTTTTGGATTTTTTTGTTTTTCGACGACGAGTCGTGAAAGACCTCGATATTTGTATAAAAGTTTGCCACGACCAGGATTCGAACCCGGGTCTCTGAGGCCACAACTCAGCGTCTTAACCACTGAACCATCGAAGCATCTATATTACTATACTTAGTTTAAATAAAATAAAATACGACACAAACTGTTATGAAGAAAATTTATGTTTGACTCGACGCCTTCGGTGGCCGGCCCGGATCCGATCCCCCGAACCCGATCCCGCGACATCGATCCCACGATCCCGCGACCTCGATCGCACGACCTCGATCCCGATCCCACGACATCGATCCCGACCCCAATGTCGTCGCGAGGATTACGTCATCGACAAGGTGTCGCCGCGGGATGCGGACGTGACTAGGGTCCGGGCCTCCGCTCGGTCGAGACAGAGCAAGCTTCGAAATCGGTGAGTGTGTTTGAGTCGGTCGTCGACTCGATGTGTTTTTATTCCATTTTAGAATTGAAATGTTCGAAAAAAAATTCGCGTCGATTGTTCGTTAGAATGGGGGGATTCTTTTGGGTCGAAAAGATTTTCGTTTGAGAATTTTTACGCCTCGAGAACGGCCAAGAAAAAAATCCCGCTTCATTAGTATGCAAGATCGTGAAAAGTTTCATTTGTGACTTTTTAGTTGCCTGACCGCAAGGTTGGGAGTCACGCAATCGCTTCCTGTCACGGCTCTCGGAGTCACACAAATCTCGGAGTCACGCATTCGCTTCAGTGTATATGTTTGTTTCCTTCGTAGTGATGGAATATAGAAGCATTCGCGTAGGTGAGGCCGCGGCGAATCAATTGGAGAGATATGCGAACTATGAAGGCGGTTTAGAGGGGAATACGTTCTCGTATATAGAGAAATTTCTAGAAACGGGTGGAGCGGAGTGAGAGGCTACCCATAGCGCTCGCGGATTATAATATCCAGGAGTACGAGTTGAACGATGTAAGAAATGAACAAAGAACCACGAAAGATCTGATCAGGAAAATTCTACCCTGGATCACCATCGAAGAAGAAGAAGAATTTGACGACGACGACGACGATGACGACGACGACGACGATGAGGACGACGACGATGATTACGGAGGATCCGACGATGACGAGTACGAGGGATCGGAGGACGAACGCTGTAGCAAATGCGGCCTGATACACAAGTGGTATTTGGCCCATGCAAAAAACCCTTGTAACGCGTAGAGCGTAGAAAATAAAAAAATTGAATCGGAATGTTGTGAGCGTGTGTGTATTCTTTTGCGCATTAGAATTAAATGCATTTTATTTGTTTATTTGTAGGGGAAAAAAATGGAAACGCGACGCGATGTCGAGAGTGGAGTATTTGGCTCATCTCGAGAGAACCCGCTTACCCGACCAAACAAATTCGAAACCAATCGACATTCCCCATTCCAAAGAGACGGCGAGGCGGAAAGTGAATGACAGATGTCGGATCGCTCGTCGCCGGGACAACGAGGATGACGCGGGACATGTCGCAATCGAGGGGGGCAAAGGTCGTGGATGCGGACCATCGAGGGAGCGGGTAGAGACAGGGAACCAATGAGGAGTCCGTTAGTTTGACCAATGAGACGACGGGGATTTCGATCCGAAAAGGCGTATAAAAAGAGAGAGCGAGAAAAATGTGTCACAACCAACAAGCAAGATGACTGCCGCTCCGTGCACACTTTGTCAGAATGGCATTTGCGAAGAGTTTACCGCTAAGAGAAGTGGTGATGTATACGTGCGATGTAAGAACATCGACTGCGGCTTCTTCTGTGCAGTCGATCGGTTCTTAGAATACGAAGACCTCGTAGATAGCGAGGCGGTCGGCGCGTGGTACAAGGGGGTCGACGCACCGCGCTGCGAGCACGCCAGGACGACAACCCTCAAAGTGTCGTTGTCCCAGAAGAACCCTGGTCGACCCTACTTCGCCTGCTCGCAGCAGAACCGCTGCGATTTCTTCACGTGGGCCAAACGTGTCCCCCGAGGAGAATGAACAGAGGGAGGCGGCGCGACGTCGGCGTCAAACGGAACCCGATCCACGATCCCGATCCCGAGTCCGAGCGTCGAGTCAGCAACGCGGACAGCGGAGGGTGGTGGCGCCCGAGCACGAGCAACAGTGGAGGATCGGGCGTCGGAAGACCGCAGATATCTGCAGGTATCCTAGATATGGAATACCGAGGGTGCGCACTCGTACCTAAAGGGTTAAAGTGGATGGTCTCGCCGCCACCGCCACCCTCGGTACAACCACCACCGTCACCGGCACCGCCACGACCGGCACAGGTACCGCCACAACCGTCACCGGTACCGGCAATCGAGTTCGAGGTCTCGGTTCTTATCGCACCATAAGCCCGTATTCACCCTCGGCACCACCACCGTGGATTCCTTCACCGCCGCACTACAACCCCACTTGCGCAAACGGCTACACGCCTGTCATTGAATCCTGATTACATCCCGAAGGAACCGTCGTATTCACCCAGTGAAAAATTAGTGATCGACGACGGCGATGATGCTCAAAGAGTGGACTACGGCGAGGATGAGTAGCAATAAAAGATTTTACTATAACAGTCCTCACGACGTTCGATTGAAATCATTCGAGGGGTAACCTTCAGACCGCGAACATGAATCCTCTTTCTCAGCCTTGGTCTTGGTCTAGTTTGAAAGGAGACTGCGAAAAAAATCGCGCGACATCTGTCGCTGATCGCCGACGGTATGCTGACGAAATTCAGAGACCGTCATCCCGATCAGAACCTGTACGAGTTGGAGTACGACTGGGACTACGGTTGGCTTCGGATGTTGGCGTGGTTGCTGGATCAGGGGCAGTATCTCGCGTTTTTTTGCACTGCTGTCGCAGATCGACACCGCCGTGCAGGAACTGACGATGGACGTCGTGCGACGGGTGTCGAGACGATGTTACGATACCCTGTTCTTCTGGAAGCACGACTTCGTCGCGGATGCAGCGTCTACGTCGTATCAACGTTGGAGGTGGAGGTTGACGTCGGACGGTGGACCTATCGATGCGAAGCCGTTTGTCGAGAAGTTGACGAATGAGACGCAGCGAATAAAATTTGTTCGCGCATTCCCCAAAATAAAAAATAATCATTAGCCCCCGTAACGTTCGATTGAACTCATTCGAGCCCTGCCCTTCAGACCGCGAACATCGACGAAAAAAAAGAGATGTCGAGAGACGATTTTAATTTCCAACGCGCGTACCAAGATTTCCTGATTACCGTGGACACGATGCAAAACACCGTGAACCATCTGAATCAACGATGGGCCGAAAGAATCACGCTGAGGTCGCCGCACCAGTTCGTCAAGACCAAGGCCAAACTGTTGGTCGAGTTCGGACTGTTGAGCATGCAGATGATGGAACTGAAGAGAGTGGCAAAGGAGGTGGCATTCATCACGGAGAGTGTGGGGGCGATCGAAATACCTACACCGACTGCACCGCCTACACCGACTGCGCCGACTGCGCCGAGTGCACCGCCTACACCGACACCGACAGCGCCGACTGCGTCAAAAGCAAAAACTCCCGAGTCGGAGGTCGAATCGGAAGAACCCGAAGTGATGGAAGAGAAACCTAAAAAAAAAATCTCGAAAGAGAAAAATCACCTCAGATTCCCCCTCAAGAAGAAAAAAAAGAACCTCAACAGAAAAAGAACAAGAAAGAAAGAAAGAAAGAGGAGGACGAAGAAGAAAAAAAAAATGAGCGAGGCGACCGATTTGTGGACGCTGTTGATGAACGAGATGGAGTGATGCGTATATAATTTAGTAGATAGGTCGATTTTTACAATAAAAAAATGACGAACGAAAAAAGAGAACGCGTGAATCTTTTTAGAGATGCGGAAAGGGATCGGGTGAAGATCAAAGTCGCATCTAATAATACTACTACCCCACCCCTCGACGGACTAGACGGATTCGCCGACGAGTGCAGACGACAGATCATGTACGCGTGTCATCACCGCCTGTGGTGGTGTCATCGCGAGAATTACAGGCGTTGGAATCGTCGCATCAACGCGCTCAACCTGCTCTCGTTGCTGTTGGTGTTCGGGGGAACGGTCGCGGCAGCCGCGGTTCGAGAGGTGTGGGAGATGCCCGTCACGATTTGCGTCGCAGCGGGAGTGGCGATCAAGGGTTGGATGGATTACAAGAAAATGTACCGACGACTCGAGGCGTCGGCGTTCGCGACGACCGCGTATTCCGACACGCTCAAACGACACGGGCTCTTCGGAGACGTCGATCTGAAGGCGTTCTGGACCGAGATGGAAACGATAAAAGATGTCGTGAACGAGTTCGGACCAGCGCTCTACGATAGCCGATTTCTTCCCGACAAGAGTACACCCGTGTAAAGAACGAAAAAAGAGACGATGACGAAGAAAAAAGAAAAAAGAAAAAAGAGAGTGGACGTGCAACGATTGTTGTCGAGAGTCGGGAGAGAATTGCACTGGCCCGGTTATCGATTCCTGGGACCCGGTACTCGTTTGAAACAACGTTTATAAAGGGGGAACAGCATCTTCGAGAGTTCGGGACGCAAACCGGAAAAGTTGCAAACGGATAAAGGCAAGGAATTCTACAACGCCTCCGTACGAGAGTTGTTGACGCGTAAAGGGATCGAGCACTATTCGACCGAGGGAGAACCCAAGGCGGCTGTGGTAGAACGCTTCAATCGCACCCTGAAGCGATTGACGTACAGGTACATGACGTTGCACAATTCGTACTAGTATCTGGACGCATTGCCCGAACTCGTGGACAATTACAATCGCACCGTGCACTCGTCCACCAAGCTGGCGCCGATCGACGTGGACGCTCGGAACGCCCGGTACGCGTGGAACAATCTCTACGCCGCGAATAAGGTCAGAAAATGGAAACCTTTCCGGTACAGAGAGGGCGAATTCATGCGAACGTCCAAGTTATTGTCGAGCAAGGACAAGAGACGAGGCGAATTGGGCAACAAGAGTTGCAAGGGCATCTGGTCTCGAGGAGTGTACACGGTGATCGGTAGACGGAGACAGACGGTGGACGGCGTCGCCTATTACGCGTTGGAAGATTGGGGAGGCGATCGGGTCAAGGGTCGATTTTACGAACCTCAATTGCAGAAGGTCGAGGGATTGCCCAATCGCGCG